CTTTCCCAGCGTCTGCCCTGCTCCGGGTAGTATGCTGCAGGCGGCACATGCATTGTCTCCTTTAGTCTATAAACCAGCTACTAGTCAGAGGTGGGGGACCGAGGCCGGGAGAGGTTAAGTGACTGTTCAAGGTCATGCTGTCAGAAGTGAGGGAGCTGGGGTTCAAGCCCAGAGCCCGGGCCCCAGCTTTGACCGCGCCCGTGTCCCTCTCCCCGTCGGCCTAATTAGGTTTGCGGGGCTGTGGCAGGCAATTCGCCTTTCCTCAGGCCTCCGCCCTGACTGCCCACAGGAAGAAGCCTTCTGGGCAGGGGAGACAGGGAGTGGCGTGCAGCTGTGGTCATGGCAGGTGGCTACCAAGGCAGTCCGGACTAGTGGGGCTCCGGCTCGTCTTCCCTAGTTGCCTAGAGATGCCCACCCCCCCAAAGAGAGAAAATGATTTCAACGGCCTACCAGCCAACCACAGAGGAGCAGTCCCTCGCATGGCAGGGTCATCAGCCCATTTGACAGGGGAGAACGCAGAGGCTCAGAGAGGTGGTGACTTGCTCATGCTCACCCATCATGTGAGCGGCAGAGTGGGAACGGGGACTCGGGCATGCTGAGCTCCTCGTTCGTCTTCCCTAGTTGCCTAGAGATGCCCAACCCCCAAAGTCAGAGAGAAAATGATTTCAACGGCGACCAGCCAACCACAGAGGAGCAGTCCCTCGCCCTGAGGAAGAGGCATGGTAGGGTCATCAGCCCATTCGACAGGGGAGAACGCAGAGGCTCAGAGAGGTGGTGACTTGCTCATGCTCACCCATCGTGTGAGCGGCAGAGTGGGAACGGGGACTCGGGCATGCTGAGCTCCTCGCACCCCAGTTCACCTGCCTGCTGACAAGGCCTAGGAAGCGGAGGGTTAACCCCTGACCCCTGCTGGGACAGAGCCTCTCAAGGTTGGGGGCCCAGCCTTGAGAATCAGGCCCTGGGTAGCTGAGACCAAGGACACCAGACTCTCAAACTTTGCCACAAATGCTTGGGCAGGTTTTCTCTAAGCCTCAGTTTTCCCATCTGGGCAATGGGGAGAAGGGTGCCCCATTTGAAGGATATACATGCAAAGAAGGCTCAGAGTGTGAGTCTCCTATAAAAAAAATCACAGGCTGCTCTTACCCTACTTTCTGTATGCGGAGCTGGCAGCAGGCTGTCCCCCCCTGACCCTCTCCCAGCCCCGGCGTGACAAAATGAAGCTCACAGTGCTGAGGCTCTGGAGGGTGAGGTGGAGGTTTGGACCTGGGCATAAAGTGCCAGACCCCCCAGACATCCTAGGCAGAGGGGGGTGACAGCCCCTCCCTCACCCCAGCCCTGGCTGGACAAGGTGAGCCATGGAAGCTGGGATCAAAGCCAGAGCCAATAGGGCAGGAATGGCGGACTCTTGGGGTCATGCCTTGTCCGGAGAGATAGGGAGTTGGGAGGGAACAGTTCGCAGGCTGAGAGCAGTAAGCTCTTGTCCAAGGGTCTGGCCTGGCTGCCTACCATGAACCCCCGATTGCTTCTCCCCTGGGCCTCACTGAAGGCCTCCAAGCCCGGCTTGTTTCCAAGTCCTCCCTGAAACCGGCCAGCTTCTCACCCCCTGCGGTGGTGGGCTCGCCCTGGACACAGCTGTCCGCCCTGCATTGCAGTAAGAGGAATGGCAGTTGGGAGTCCTCCCTCTTTTTCTGCCCCAGGTTTCCACCCCTGTGGACTTGGGACCCTGGTGTGGGGGGGAAGGTTGGGGAGGAGGGAGGTGTGAGGTCCCTGGAGCCTGTGGCTTTGATGAGCCGGGTCTTCACCTGTCCTTGTGTACAGGGGAAGGGATCAGGGCCAGAGTGGGTGTAGCCACCACTCTTTGATTTGGGAGATGAAAGGGAGCTCTGTAACTGTTGTTGTGCCCGGGGACGAGCCAATGCCAAGGGCATGGCTACTTTGAGGGTCTGTCTGTTATGTCTGTAGGAAGGGCCCTCAAAGCCCATCTGGTCAACTCTACCGAGATGTGGAGAGAGAGCCAGAGAGAACATGTGGCTGCCCAAGATCGCACAGCGAGTTAGCCAGGCTGCGACCAGGTCTCTTGGCTCCCCGTCTGCAGGCTTTCCCCAAGCTTCTTATCCTATTAGGCGGGTATTGGAAAAAGGAAAGAAGAAAAAAATCTAGGGTTACAGGGACCACAGAAGCAAAGATGAGAAAGGGTTCCAAGACAAAAGTATAGGCAGGTCCTTTTTATACGCCTCCGAGACCTTACTCACCGGGAGAAGGACTTAGGATAGATGGAATTAGGATCTTCTTGGAAGAGGTGGGGAAGGGGGATATGACCAGGATCAGAGCGGTTTGTGTGACCTCTTCTAGGAGAATACAGACTCATCTGTCCCCTTAAAGACAGGAGCAGGGAGAGTGGGGGGATGGCCTCCCCATTTTGACACTCATGTTTCCTGCTCCTCATATTTTACATCCCCACTTTACAGATGGGGAAACTGAGGGTCAGAGAGGTTAAGTGGCTAGTCCAAGGTCACAAAGTTAAAAGGGGAGAGCTGGAATTTCAATGCAGCTCTGTCAGATGCTAAAGCCCCAGCTTTGACTTTCCTTGTCCCATAATCTCAATCTTGTTCAGGAGTCTAGTGGGGTTAGGGAGGGGCAGTTAGGGAAAGAGAGAGGACACTAGATGGCTCTACAGAGCTTTTATCTTCTCTCCAACCAGGCTCTCCTGCCTCCACAGGGACCCCTGAAGGGACTGGGGAGGGGTCATCTTATCCATCCCCCTGCCTGCAGCTGGCGTGGCCCAGGGAGAGGGTCTGTGTGCAGCCTTCTCCACTGAAGGAGATTTCTTGATGTTTAGACTTCAGTTGAAAGGCCAAGGGATTGAGTTTTGATTCCAAACAAGCCTGAGGTGGGAGACGTAAATATTGTTGCCATTTAAAACAAGTTCTGGAGTGGTTTCGGCAGGTAATGGGCACAGAGCCCTGTGACCCAGCCCCCTTCGTTATCTTTCTGTCCTTGGGCAAAAGAACGACATGGATCTCCTAATTTATTGTCTGCGCAAGGAGAGAAGAAGGCAGGCAGCGAGGCCTAAGAGAATGGCGGCTGTGGGTTGAGTTCCAAGTGAGGTCTCTCCTTTTCTACTGGGTTTTCCGACCTGAGAGGGAAGAGGAGTCTGGGTGGTTTGGGGAATGGGCCGGGCTGGAGAAGGGACGCCGTGTTGGGACTGTTGAGGAAGGCCGGTGGGGCTCTAGGTCCTCACTCCCCTTGGCTGCTGGGGCTGGCAGCACACACCCAACCCTCTGCAGGGGCTTGCAAACTCATTTCCTATCAGCCCACACACAGCACAAAAAAAGCATAAACGTTCGCTTCTCTCCAAATCATTGATTACATTCTGAAATTCAATAATACATTTTCGGCTTGTTGGTGCTTCTCCAGATTGAACAAAGAAAGATGACCGTGGTTTTGTTTTCTTTATGATTTGTCTCTTTCTACAAGGGGCTTGAGGTCATTCACAACAAAAACATGCGTGTCAGAAAAGGGAGGCAGAACATAATGACGAACACCTTCAGGGCCTACCTATCGTGGCTGCGGTTGAGATTCCAGTGTAGCTCTGAGCTTCCAGGCGGCCAAGGGAAAAAGGAAATATCATCAGTTATGTGTTCTCATCAGAGCCAAGGGAGCCTCACATACGTGATGCTTTGATGTTTTGGTGTCTGTCTTTCACGCCTGTAAGCACAGGGACCGTGGCTGCTGTATTCCGAGAGCCTGATGCACCCGAGCTTGGTAAACATCTGTCACCTGAACGCGGGACCGCCGGCTGGTTCCTCGGGGGAAGTGACATTTCCTCGCACTATGTTCTAAGAAAGAGCTCTCATGTGGAGCTGTAAAAGGGGAGCTTAGGGTCATGGTTGACCCTGTTTCCCAATAACTTATTTACAACAAATGCCACAGCAGCGCTCATGAACCGCTGTCTGTGGTGTTTTAAATGAAAGCCAGAGATACAGAGCGTGGCGCCATATACAGAGACCCCGGGCGGAGGAAAGAGGCCCAGATGCATGCCCAAGTCACACTGGCTTGTGTTTCAAACCCTATTTACAGTGGACGGGAGAGGGATACAGAACTAACACTAAAGCAAATTATTTGTATGTATCGTATTGGCAGTGTTACTGTGCATTACTTTATGAGCATAGTTTCTTATGCCCAGTAGTGCAGAATAGAAAGCAAACAGAAGAGGCCCCAAATCTCCCTGCCCAGAAACCCCATTGACAAGTAAAAATAGTTCAAGTAATTCTGCTATAAAATTTTTTAAAAATCGTACTATAGAAAGAAACAAACTAAAAGGTGAAATCCTCCTCCGCAGTCGCCATGTTGCATAACTCCAGGAGCATCGTCTGTACTGGAGTTGAGCGCCAGCAGTCCCCCCCTCCCTTCATGTCCTTTCCCCTGAGGTAACCCGTTAACAACTTAAAGCTATTTTGTAAATTATTATTTTTTTACATTTAAATTTCTCAAAACGGAGAGGGATAGGTTCTGAAGTATGAGGGATGGAGGTTAGACATCGAGAAGGACTTCCCAGCAGAGAGGGACCACTGAAGAGAAGCCTGGAGGGAGAGAGGATTGTGAGCATGGTGGGACAGGGCTTGCAGCCGGAGAGACACAGGTGGACCTTCTTGGTAAGTGGTTGTAAGAGCCCAGAGACAGGGCAAAGGAGGCGGGCAGAGAAGAGAGCAGGAAAAGGCTCTATGTGCCCTGGCTCTGACACGGGGACATCAGCGATGGTCTGGGTCCCACTGCTCCACGCTGGCCAGCCAGGCGCAGGGGGCTCAGTCTGGGAGTCCCAAACTCCAGCCTCAAGAGCGGGGGCCCGGCTGGGTGGCTGCTGGGTTTGCGGGTGGGCGCCAGAGCATCCCCCCTGCCCCCTCAGGCTTCCAGGATGTGCACGCCATGGTGTTCGTGGGCTTCGGCTTCCTCATGGCCTTCCTGCAGCGCTACGGCTTCAGCAGCGTGGGCTTCACCTTCCTCCTGGCGGCCTTTGCCCTGCAGTGGTCCACGCTCGTCCAGGGCTTCCTGCACTCCTTCCACGGCAGCCACATCCACGTTGGCGTGGAGAGGTGGGCAGCCGCTGCTCCCCTGCTCCCCCAGGTCTGCCTGGGGGGCCCCTGCTCACAGGACCCCACTGAAGCCCTGTCCATCGGGTTCCGACCCACCAGTTGATTTCTCTCAGGGGCCCCGCCTGTTCTTGTTGCCTGATTTCTCCTCCCAGCCTCGGTCCACACACTCAGCCACACCCCTCTCCCCATTCCTTTAAGCCCCTTATTACCCAAGAGCTGTTGGGAGGGGAGAGAGCTTCATGGAAACGGGCAGGTTTGGAGGAGCCTCTAGTTCAAGATCCGGTTCTTCCACCTGTCGGCTGTGTTTGCTGTGTCCCCAAACCTACCTCCCTGAGACTGTTCTCCCCATCTGCACAGAGGCCCGGAGATCTCTCCCCTCCTCCCCGGGAAGAACTCAGACGTGCAGTAAGCTCATGGCCTCCTCCCCTGAGCCCTTCCCCAGGGCTCCCCAGGTTCCCCTCGCTCACCCTCCCTATCCCACCCTCCAGCATGATCAATGCTGACTTCTGCGCTGGGGCTGTGCTCATCTCCTTCGGGGCCGTGCTGGGCAAGACCGGGCCAGCCCAGCTGCTGCTCATGGCCCTGCTGGAGGTGGCACTGTTTGGCATCAACGAGTTTGTGCTCCTTAGTCTCCTGGGGGTGAGTCTGGATGGGGATGGAGCGAGGGTGGGGGTGGCCAAGGCCAGGCCCTGACCAGGGCCAGGGGGAGGGGTGGGGCAGTGGGGCAGGGCTCCCCTCCAGCTCAGCTCTGCCTCCCCAGGTGAAGGATGCCGGAGGCTCCATGACCATTCACACCTTTGGTGCCTACTTTGGGCTGGTCCTCTCCCGCGTGCTCTACAGGCCCCAGCTGGAGAAGAGCAAGCATCGCCAGGGCTCCGTCTACCACTCGGACCTCTTTGCCATGATTGGTGAGCCTGCCAAGGTGGGGCGGGGTGGGAACCAGTTCCGGGGACCCCTGATTGGGGGCCAGAGAGGATGAGCTCCAGGCAAGGTCTCAGGGTGCTGCCTGTAGTCTTTGGGGTTCTGGCTGAGAACTCCCTTCCTACTTGGATTCTTCCATGAGAGTCCGGGACCTGTGCTCCTTCTCAGCAGTTTTATGACAGGTTCTTAGAACTCAGCCTTGAGGCCCGTTCCCAGGGGTCTTTCAAAAATGTTGGTACCAACCCTTGCTTAAACCCTCCAGGGCTCACCGCCCACAAGTCAGAAACCAGACTCATCCGCCTGGCACCCAGCCCCTCGCCCTCCTCCTCCCTCCCAACTCCAGCTCCCTCACACTTGGCTTCTCCCACCTCTTACCCCCAGGCCTTTGTCCCCAGGGCTGCCTCCCAGGCCTAAGGACACTTCCTCCCAGAAGCCCCCGCCCTGGGGTTGGGGGTTGGAGTTTGTGCATCATGCCTGGGAGCAGTAGGGCCTGACCTGCGAGCACCAGTCACCACCCCGTGTCTTTTAAGCAGCTATCTCCACCCTGGCCTCTGCTCCTCTCTCTACCTTCATAAACGAGCCAGGAAAGGAATTGATTTTTTTTCTTTTTTTTTTTAAAGATATGTTTTTACCCCACTGCTAAACTTGAGTGGTTATATATATATATATATATATATATTTTTTTTTTTTTTACTGGTTTTAGAGAGAGAGGAAGGGAGAAGGATAGTGATAGAAACATCGATGAGAAAGAGACATCAATGGGCTGCCTCCTGCACGAACCGGTGACCTCTTGGTTCATGGGTCGACGCTCAACCCCTGAGCCACACGGGCTGGGCCAATTTTTTGTGTGGGTTGGGGTAGTATTGAAAAATAACTGGAGAGAGGCTGGTGGTGTATTTCGTGCTCCGGGTTTGCTGTGAAATATAGTACATGTAACCCTAGGGCAGCGGAGGCTCCTTGCCCTTTGAGACCCAGAGACATTGGGCTTTAAGTCCAAAGACTCCCCAAGATTTCCGTGCTGTCCCAGAGGCCTACATTCTCAGCTCTCCTCTGCCTCCAGCTCCTTCCACAGACACGTGACCTTCCCTTGATTCCTCCCCACGCTCTCCCGCCGAGCACCAGTGGGTGAGTGGGTGGACTTTATTGCAGGCTGTGGGGTTGCAGGGAAGTCACATGGCACACCCAAGGACCACTCAGCACCCAGGGGCAGTCCCCCAGCCCCTTGCCAAGCTCACCCTACCCCAAACGGTCCCAGCCTTCCCTCACTTTGCCCCTCGACCCCTCCTCCCTCTCCCTCCAGGACTGACCTGGGAACCTCACACGGACAGGCAGGGCATGGGACACACAGGCCCAGCCCACCCACTGCTCGGCAGACAGCGGCCTCCCTGCACACTGCAGGGTCCATCCTTTCTAGGACGTCACTGAGGTTATAAACCAAATTATTTCCCTGGCACGCACACCAAGCACCCAGCTCAGTGCCTGAAATGCGGTGCACTTGGTCTTTTTTTCTTTCCTTTCCTGATACTTAAAAAAAACACACCTCTCAAACCTCTGATTTTCAATTAAGGAGCTCCCTTTGGGGCCAGAACCCCTCCGTGGCTACTGTTTGTTGAGCATTTAGTACCCACCAGGCCGTGGCTGAGCACCTCACGTGTGTCACCTCCTTTCGTCCTCACTTCATGAGGCAGGTGTCATCCCCACTTGACAGAGGGGTAAACTGAGGCTGCAGTCACACAGCTTGCACGTCGTGGGGAGCCACTTCCTTCCGCTCACTCTGCCTGCCTCCCCACCATTTAGGGACCATCTTCCTGTGGATCTTCTGGCCTAGTTTCAACTCTGCACCCACTACGCTGGGGGACGGGCAGCATCGGACAGCCCTCAACACGTACTACTCCCTGACCGCAAGCACCCTCAGCACCTTTGCCTTGTCAGCCCTTGTCGGGAAGGATGGGCGGCTGGACATGGTATGGGAAGGAGGCCTTGGGAGAAGCAGAGAGAGGAACTGGCCGGGGGGGCAGGGGAGGTAAAGGTTTGAGACCCTGCAAGACCTATTCTCCAGGGGCACAGGGAAGGGCACAGGGAAGGGCACAGGCACATGGAGTTCCACCTGCACTGGAGGCGGTGGGGTCTGAGAGACAGTGGTACAACAGCAGGAGAGTCAGAGGTTAGATGGTGGAGGGACTTCCAGAGGCAGTGGGCGCCATCGTGGCGGAGGGGCTTGGGTTGGATGTGGGTGTGACAGTTTGGAAGGGCCTCCGATGCCTTGCTCTTCCCTGCTCCCTTAGGTCCACATCCAGAACGCAGCATTGGCCGGAGGGGTTGTGGTGGGGACAGCAAGTGAAATGATGCTGACACCCTTTGGGGCGCTAGCAGCTGGCTTCCTGGCCGGAACCGTCTCCACGCTGGGGTACAAGTTCTTCACGGTACAAGCGCCCCTCCAGCCCTGGGCGGAACGGGTCTTCAGGGCCCCTCCTCCCACCTCTCTAACAGGCCTGGGGTGGGAGGGCACACGAGACTCATTATTGGTGTCCTGTTCTCCAGCCCGTCCTTGAGTCAAAATTCAAAGTTCAAGACACGTGTGGTGTCCATAACCTTCATGGGATGCCTGGGGTCCTGGGAGCCCTACTGGGGGTCCTCGTGACTGGGCTGGCCACTCATGACGCTTACGGAGATGGGTAAGTCCCCCCCCACCCCCGCCATTGATTCACACTAAAGTCATTACCCCTTGGAATGACCTCCCTCACTCTCTCCCCCACCCCATGTGCACCAACAAAAAAGCATTTTCATTTATTCATCCCTATTCTGGGAGCTGAGGAAACCAGAGTGAGCAAGACCAACCAGGGGGGCTGCCTTCCTGGTCCTCGGTCAAGTTTAACAGGTCACTGAACAAATGATTTCAACAGTGTCACTAAAGGGTCAGGAAGAGATAATGAGCCTTATGATCGACGTTTGCACATCAAGGCTCAGAGGAGAGGGCAGGCCAAAGTGACCCTCAAACTGAGTCTCGAAAGGCGTGGGGGTGTCTGCTGGGGGGGGGGGGGGGGGGGTTCCAGGCTGCGGGCCTGACTGGGGCAAAGACAAGACTCAGCCTGATGGGTTCCCAGAGGCCCTTGAGCGGCTGCATGACGCAATGCTCTCAGGCACCGACCCGCCCGCCTCCCCACAACCTCTCCGCAGCCTCCAGAGCGTGTTTCCGCTCATCGCCGAGGGCCAGCGCAGCGCCACGGCCCAGGCCATGTACCAGCTCTTTGCGTTGTTTGTTACGCTGACAGTTGCCGCTGTGGGTGGGGGTGTTGGAGGTGAGTGATCTTGGCTGGGGCTGGGGGGCTGGCAGGAGCTCCAGGGAGGGCAGAAGACCGAGGAAGGGGGTTCTCTGGAGGGAAGGCCATTGGGACATTTATTTACTCAGATATTTATTGAGCACCTACTTTGTGCCAGGTGTGGGGTGGGGTGGTAGAGTTCAGGGGTGACCTCCTCGGGGTCAGGTGGAGCACTCAGCAAGGGGCTGAGTTGGGTTCCTCTACTCTGGTTCTGTGGTTTCCTTGTGCTGCTCCCTCTACCCACTAGAGGGCAGTCCAAGCTCAGGCTGAGGCCCTGAAGGAGATGGCGAGCTGTGCATATTGTCGTGGTCTCCCCCCCACCATCCCCCCTACCCTGCAGGGGCAGGGAGCCAAGGGGTTGGCTTGGCTTACCACTAGATTGCAGCACAGAGAACGTCCACAGAGGCTGACTGCCCACTAATGCTGGCTCAGGCAGTCCTTCCTGATGTCTAGCCTTAGTCCTTTCGATCTTCAAAATAAAAGCTATGATGCGGTGTCTTCACCCTCCTGCTCTCAACTCGAGACTGTCATCCTCAGACAAGGTTCAATTCATTCACTCATCTAGTTACTATTCAATACACACTTTCTGCACCCCTCCTGGACAGGAGGCCACAGAAAGCAGCCGTGGCTCACGAGAGAATCACTATTTGGTTCATTACCAACTGTGCCAAACCTGAATTAATTACTTCACTTCTCTGAACCTTAGTTCCTTCTCTGTAACACAGGGATCACATTCACCTTCAGGATCACTACGATTACTCGGGAAGGAAATGCTTGTCAAGCCCTTTGCATGGCATCTGGCACACAGTAGGTGCTCAACAAATATGGCTGTGACTTGCCTGGGCTAGGCGGCTAGGCATCGCGCTGACCCCAGGCCTCCCGGCTCCTCTGTGCCTTGTGGCCCTGGGTGGCAGCCTCTCCCACAGGGATAGCAAAAAGCCTCACACATCTTCCCCTACCACCACCAGGGTGCCTACTAAAGCTGCCCTTTCTGGATGGCCCGCTAGACTCCCAGTGCTACGAGGACCGGATTTACTGGGAGGTAAGACCGAGCTGTAGCCCCTCCGGCCCACAGGGCCCTGTCACCCTGCCTGCCTCATTCCCTATGACCCCCACCTGCCTCTTTCCTTCCTCGCCTGCTCGTTCTCCTCGGGGGTGCGCCCCTGAGCTGTGGCATTCAGCCACCCGGAGCCACCCCTTGACCTGCTCCCCCACCCCTGCCCTCCAGGTGCCTGGGGAGCATGAAGATGAAGCCCAGGGACCTCTGAGGGAGGAGGAACTAGACACTCAGGCCTAACTCGCACCAGCCCTTGAAAGGATGCTCTCCTTTTGGAAGATAATGCCTGGCTACGCTTGGGAAGTTCTCTTGTCGCTCCCATCCTTCCTTCCCGCTGCAAGAAGGAAGTCACGAGTCAGAAGGAGCCTCCTTTCCACAGGCAGCGCTAGGGGAAGGGCTGCAGAAGGCGCGCGAGATGGTGGAGGAGCAGGGCTATAACTGGCCGTATTGGGGGAAGAATCTCCCAGCAGCCTCACCACCACCACCAGCAGCCACAACCTGCAAGTGAGGCACCCAAGTGACTGCTGACCCACGGGTCCAGCATCACACGGTTACAGTGTGAGCCAGGGCCCGGCTCTCCGCGGGCGATAAACACACGGTCACCAGGGACTCTGACTCCTTCCTTGTGCACTGGGGGTTTGGGGGGTCCCTCTCACCCTGTAACTCACAGTGTTAGAAACTGGGGGTGGGAGACGTCTCACCTCCCGGGGTCTCTGGGACTCCCTCAGGGATGCTGTGTTCTTCCAGGCGGGTACCCAGCATGGGCTTTCCTGCCTGAAGAGACAGGGAGCTCAGTCTCCCAGGAACCTGGGGCTGCTGGAGAGTTCTAGTCCAGAACTGCTGTCACTCGGACCCTCAACATGGGCAGCTTCTGAGCAGAGTAGGAAGAGGGCACCCACAGGGCCTAAGAGGGGCATAAGGCGTTCTTTGCCGTTAACTCCTCAGAAGCTGGAAGCAGCCAGGCACCGCCTGATGTCCCTGTCCCCAGTCCCAGGAGCAGAGGAACTCATGAGAGTTGCCTCTGAGAAGGGCCTCCCGCTGCTTCAAGTCATCTGACCGCCAGAGGGCACTCCAGACCCAGCAGAGGAGCAGGCGGCTTTCTTGCCCGTCCCTCTTTCAAGAATGGAAGTTCTTCCTATAGCCTAACCACCTTCCTTTCTGCTTCAGCTCTGGTCCTCACCATTCATGCCACAGCCTTTTTTGAGCTCCCAGCCCCCACTACGTGTCAGGCGGGTGCTAGGGCTTTCAGATCTCATCCAACAGAGACATCATCCCCCCAATAGATCCAAACTCCTTTCCCAGCCCTGAAGAACGGGGACCTCCCTCTGTCCTCTCCTGCCCGTCCCCAGTGCTTCCAGCAGGAAGTGAGCATGACTGCGGATCTTTCTCCCCCAAGACCAAGACCCATTCAGACCTAGGATCCCAAGGAGGCAGAGGAGGGATTTCTGGGACCTGGCCCTGTCCCAGGTACCCCATCCGGCTCCATCCTCACTGTGGTTGGATGGACTGCGCTTGGCTGGGGAAAGAGGTCAGGCACAGAGTTGAGAGGGGGAGGGCAGCTAAGGGACAAGCGCTGTCTGGGAACCATCCCTGCCCCCAGCCCAACTAGCTCCCCCTCTTCACTCCCCTCCTTCCTCTGCAGCCTCTCCTGCCCAGTGCTGGCCGGGGTAGGTGTGTTGGGGAGATTCTGGTACTGAGGCATAGGATGGCTGCTGACACTGCAAAGAGGTTCCCAGTCCTGTCAGCCCCTGCTGGGCGGGAGGGAGTTTGAGAGAACTGAGGCCCAGCCCGCACTCCACCTTCTGGGGCCTGAGCTCCCAGTCCTGCTGACCTGCTCTGCCCCAAAGCTCCCCAAGCAGTCCCCAGATCTGAAGACTTCAGGCGAGGAAGATGCAAGGATAGGATGAGACCCCTCCCTACCCCAGCTCATTCTGGGTGGGGAAAGCTCTGAATATTCACTTATTCATGACACCTACATTTGCTTGACCTACACTGCTGGTTCCTCCTTGGCCACAACTAAATCTTCTTCAGGTCTGAGACAAAGGCTGGTCACTGCTCTCATCTCCATCCAGGACGGCTTCCTGGAGAAGGGACGACTGAGCCCTCTCCGGTGGAGAGCAGTTACCAAGCCAGCTTCCAGAGGAAGAGGCCACAGGTCCCCGACGGCCCTCCAAGAGGCCCCTGGGAAGGGACAGTGCCTGCTGTCCCACCAACCAGGGCCCTGCATCTCCTGCAGCCGGGCAGTTCCAAGCTCTCACTCCCACGAGTCCTCCTGTGGCTGGAAGATGTGACCAGGGCACTCTGTCTGGAGGTGAACTCTCCTAAAACAGGCCCTTGGTTTTCCTCTCTGCGTTTCCCTCCCTCCCTTCCCCAGTGTTGCTTCTAACGACTGGCACCTTGGTGGGCCATCCATAGGTTGTTCTGTTTAGTCGGCCTGAGCCATCATTGGTGGGCTGGGTGGGGGGCCATCTTCCCCATCGTGCAGGGAGCTCAGTGGGCAGGAAAGACAGGACCAACCTTGGAGCCCTCGGCTGAACCAGGACCAACCTCCTCCGTCTCCTCTGTAGTCTCTGATTTAGCACTGCTGTTCCCCCACATGGTGGCCCATCCATTCAGGCTGGGTCAACAGGGTGACAATGAGCAGGTCAAGAAGATGGCAGGGCCAGGGGCCAGGGGCTCCTTCCTCGCCCCCTCAGGACAATGCGGCCTCTGCCGGTCAGGGACAGCCCCTCTGATCACCACCATTATTCCTCTCAATGCAGGTCCACCAGACACTTGCCCACTCATGAACTCTGTCCGGCACCAATGCCTGAGCTCTGGGACAGTGATGGACCAGGACACTGGCCCCTGAACATCTCCCAGGGCCCGACCGCTGGAGGCAGGCTGCCCGGAGGTCCTCAGTGCAGAGCCAGCAGAGCCAGAGGACCGAGAGCAGGGTTTCCGGAAGTGGCCACTGTTCCCTCTTGGCACAAGTGTGTGTGGGTGACAGTACCTCCCAGAGCTCTGGGTGGGAGACCCAAGGTCCCCCGGGGCCTCAGGGTGCTTCTGTGCCTGTGCGGCCAGGTCCCCCTTGGCCGGGAGCTGGGAGCAGCTGCGGTGACCTCTGGAGGACCCGGCTCCGAGCCCAGGCGGCCTGGGAAAGGAGGCCTGGGACCTGACCCCCTCCCCCTCATTGGGATTCACATCACGGCATGCAGCTGCCCCAGCGGGGGTAGGAATTAGACGCGGCCTGGGTGTCCAAAGTGGGGGGTGGTAGCCGTCCAGGGGCAGACAAACCGGGCAGCCGCGACCCCCCACCTCAACTCGATATTTCTCTCCCACCGTCAGGATGGCCCAGCCCGCCGCCTCCCGGCTCTGCGCCCCTCTCCTTTGTCTGCCGTCCGCCGCCCAGAGCCCTGGCCCATGCGCCCGCCGCCCCGGGAACCGCGGGAACAATGCGAGCCAATGTCTCCGGCGGGCGGCGAGCCGGCTATGCAAATGCCAACAGCCTGTGAGAATTCCCTCGGCCCCTGAAAGGGGCGGGATGGGGGAGTCGTTCACTGCATAGGGATGAGCTGCCGGCCGGGCGCCCGCCGCCCGGACAGAGCGCCATTGTCTGTGGCCGTCTGATCGCCAGTCCCCCACGCCAGCCCCGGGATGAAGGCAGAAGGTGACTCAAACCAGGCCTTGGGGCCAAGGAGGGCTGGTCACCTGTCCGCGCTGTACCTAACCTCTCCCCAAGGAGGGGTCAGACCCGGGGGGCCCACAGCTTAACCCTCCCACACACTCTCAGTAACCTGCCCAAGCCAGTGGTCGGCAAACTGCGGCTGGCGAGCCACATGCGGCTCTTTGGCCCCTTGAGTGTGGCTCTTCCTAAGCCTTAGGAGTACCCTAATTAAGTGAATAACAGTGTACCTACCTATATAGTTTAAGTTTAAAAAATTTGGCTCTCAAAAGAAATTTCAATCGTTGTACTGTTGGTATTTGGCTCTGTTGACTAATGAGTTTGCCGACCACTGGCCCAAGCGGTCCTTCCGCCGAGGCTGTCTCTTGGACGTTCAACCTGGTCCGTACTTGGTGCTCTTCCCACCCTCCCTCCTTGTTGACCACGCCCCTCCTCAATCTCTGGAACCTCACAGGTCCCTGGAGCCAGGTCCCTTCCAGAACCCGATGGGAAACACCCCACAGTGGGCTGTTACTGTTCAGATGCCCCAGGGATCCTCTTACTCTGAGCCCAAGACTAGTCCAGGCCTTCCTGCCGGCCTCCCTCTGCTGTCCACCGCCAGTTAAGGAACCGCACGTTTTACTGGGAGAAAAGCAGCCATGGCAGGACTGAAATGAACTGAACGTATCCAATGATGTGGGGGGGGGGGGGGGGTGTTGCCACAGAAAGCCCCCGCCCACGAGTGAAAGCGGCGAGTCCCTCTACCTACCCCAGCCCAGGAGCCTGTGTGCACCCAGCAGATGCTATTGGTCCAGCCCTGGAGGAGAGGACCTGGCCAGCGGGAAGGGCACTCTGTGCTGAGAGCAGGGTCCCTTTTAGCTGGGAGCTGGCCCCTGCTTTTGGACGGAACAGGGTACAGGCTGAGCTCCAGTAACCGGGCTTGAGACCCAGCCAGTGCAGGACCCGGGTCCCTCTTTTCTAAATGCCGGTGAAGACTTAGATCAAGGGCGGAGGCCACTCAGGGGAAAAGCTGTTTCGGAGACGGTGCAGTGATGCTTCTAGAACTCATCATGGTTTAGGGGGACAAAGCCGATCAGGGCAACACCAAAGTGAGAACTGTCTTAGGGAGCTCAGGTGTTCGGCCCCAGGTGGCAGGAGGGGGCTGAGTGAGGAGGAGGGAGAAGATGCTGGCAGGGCCGGCAGTCTTCCTAGAGGCAGGGCCCTAGCTACCTATGAGCCTATTCATGTTAGGGCTGGCCCAGCCTTCCACGGAGTAGAGCTCTTCCTCCTTTTCTCCTCCTTGATGAGGATCCAGGTGCAATCATCCATCTTGTGGGGAGGTGGCGGGGTTGAAATGGGGTGGAAGAGGGGGGCAGTAGAGCCTGGCTGCCTGGGAGAGCATGTGGGAGACTATTAAATAAAGGCAGGCCAGGGGACTTGGGGGGGCGGGGGTGCCAGGGAAGCAGTGGTGCTCTGCCCACTCCCCACCTTCAGAAGGGGTCCTCCTGCAGCTTCTCACCCTGCTGCTCTCTTGGCTGGGTTTCTGCTTCAAAGCATTCTGACCCCCCCCCCCCACAGTGTCATGGAAAGGCACCCCTGACAGCCACCTCAGAAAGAAGACAAACCCACATCCACACAGGCTGGAGCCTCCCCTGCCTGAACCCCAGAGCACACCCTCCCACGCCCCCCTCCCTCTCTGCGGCTCTCTCTCTCTCTCTGGCCTGTACTGCAGGGCCCTCTGGGTCTGCTCTGGGCTGAGAGAGGAAGTGGCTTTGTTGTGCCCGGGGATTGTCTGGATTCTGAAACTTGGGCTTCCTTCCCTGCTCTTCTTGGCAGGAGGATCCTCAGCTGGAGAAACTGCCGCCCCCCCCCCCCAATACACACACTCCAGTGTCCCCTCCTCTCCAGCTCAGCACCATCCATCTCCGTCTCCTCAGGGCGAGGAATGCGGCTCCGGACACTGTGGGGCTTGTTCCCAATCCCCTTCTAGCTCATTGCACTTGGGCTCTTACAGACTCGCCTTCCTCCCGCCGGCTGCTGTCTGAGTTCTGGCTCTGAGGCCCAGACAGAGGTCTCCCCTCCCTGCCAGCCTCACATTTCATTCTGTCCCAACACCATCTGAGGTGGCTTTGGGGGGTCAAGGCACCCTTGGTGGGAACCGGTGGGGGGGGTAGGGCCCCCCTTCTTCCCATTTCCAGCCATTCAGGCTGGCCTCTGCTGTGGCCGGGCCCTGCACTATATGCTGTGTCTACAAGCCCTCCACCTGCACCCACCCTTCCTGACCACGCCCCTCAAGCCCCGATTATTGCTGGAATTAGCACAGGGCTTCTTGCTGGCAGTTGCTAATTAGGACCATTAATACATTCGATTATCAATGCGGTAGCTGGCTGCAGCCCCAGCACCTATCACCTGCACCACTGGCCAGGAGCCACAGCTAGGACTTGAAGGAGCTGGTAGGGGGCCTGGCAAGCAGGGCTGGGCCCTCCAAAGGAGCCGGTTGGCTCTCAGCAGGCCTGTCTGGGCTTCCTTGGGCCCA